GTGAGTACCATATGACCTAGTCTTCCATACATAACATGTACTGGAGATGGATATAAATATGTAGCTTGTGATGCATCCACAATAGAGTCACAATTTATTTGTGGTATGCATGACGTGCATCTGTGTCTTGGTTGTTTTCTATGTATATACAAATGCACGCGTATTCTTACTAGGGAAGGGCTTATCTTTGCTGGTATTGAGAATTACATTGTGCAGAATGAAATATGTAGAAATGAAAGCAAGTGTATGTAAATGCAAGTTCTATGGCAACCATCATTAACACGCTTCTTTTGTAGGGTTTAGTGATCCAAAAGCCAAGCCAGTTCTATTGGTCTCTTAAAAACTACTTAGAAGATTATATGGCTCTTTGCTGCATCAATCCAAATTGTACTTAATTGAAAAGTGATATTCTGTGTATGCTTTTTCCTTTTCAACTACTGCCATTTCATTTGGCATAGGGATTTGCATAACGTAGTCAATAGTTACTACTTCATCTAAAATATGCCCTGTGCTAATTTCTTGTGGTGTCCTGGTTTTCAGGAAATGCTGCAGTTCCAAGGGGAAACCAAATAAATGGGTATGATAAAACATTAGCTTTTTGCTGTGCCATAATAGTTGTTTTAAGTTTTTATTATTTTTTTTTTTAATTTATGAGACTCTAATCCCCAAGTATTTACTATAAGGGAAAAAAAAGGTGGTTTACAAGAATATGTGCTGTGGCCCGTCAACTTTGATCCAGGAGAAAATCAACAGTTTAATTGCTCCACTGATTCCTGTTAATCTAGTTATTTTTATGCTGATCTAAAGCTTGGTTGTTATCATACGCTAGGAAATTCTTCTTTGTGTTTCTGTGTTTTGTATTTTATATTATTATGTTTTGTTTTGGCGTGGAGTTTTTTGTTGCCTATATTCTCTTTTTGTGGGAAAGGAATGGATTGTGGTCTTTTGACTTGCAGCATATCTGTATAGTCTTCAAACCCAACAAGTTTATGGACTGAACAATTGTAGGAGAAGAGAGAGCAAAGCATAATGAAAAACAAAAGTAACTTGCCCAAGAAATGTGCAGGAGTGCAGGAAATTAATAAATATTTTTGGAGCTTCTGTTCTTATTAAAAAAAACAAACACCCCCCCCCCCCCAATTTTTATAGCTCTATGCCATTCCTTTATCACTCATGCTGCGCCTGTAGACCAACACTCCATATCTGTATGGATATTTTCCATGATGTAACATTACATGTAGAACTGAGCAAACAATGAATTGTTCAGTTTAGTGGCTAAACCAAGGATTTGGAAGAAGGTCAGGTCAGAAAAGAACATTTATGGCTTTTTCATTAAGTGCAATTCCTTTCTGATCAACAGTTTTGTTAAATTAAAATGAAATGTTTTCTTTTGCCTTTGGATATCTTAGGTCACTTCAAACTTTTCATATAGCATATTCAGAAATAAGCTTAGTACTTATCAAAAACGTTTCATCTCCCTATAATTCCTCTCATTCCCGTTGTCTGACAAATTGACATTTGTGTATCAGATATTTCACTGTTTTCCGTTTTCATACATGGAATCAGCTGATTTTTGGCTTGCTGTGGCTAGTGATCCGTTTTAACGTTGTAGCTTATCAAAGATAACTTCAGAGTAACACAGTGACCAAAGTACAACTGATATTTTTTTTTAATTATGATTTTGTCCTAATTTATTTGGAGTGTATTCAACAGTATGTTAATTTTTTCCCTTATAGGCTTCTTGAGAGGTTGTTAGAAAAAAGAGGCAAGAAAAAAAATTTGCCATATTTTCTCATGTTTTTTTCTGCTTAGAAGATATTTTCTGTCTGTTTGGATTTTCATGGAATGTTGTGAGTTAGACTATTGGGAAAAAAATTATATATAATATTCCATGCTACATGTAATCAACCGTCATCCAATACAGATCAAAGCACAACTGAGGAATAAAATCAGTCAAAAAGCTATATATTTTTACATGCAGTCCCACACAACCAACATATGCAATGAAATAAGACGTAATGAAAATTTCTCGTTTTATCTGAAATGTCAGCTTTAAACGTATTTTAAGCAGTTCTTTAGGAGACATTGTTTTGCTTTATGTTGCGACTCCCTAGAGGGAGGTTTGAATACTGTTCTTGGAAACATCCTTCTCCAAATTCAGTCCTGATAGACTCAAACCCAGATTTTGGCAACCCTGTAATTTTGATGACAAAATTAGAAATGGGCAATATAATATTTTGAATGTCCTCTCTTTTTCTTTGTTCAAAGTGGTTTCTAACATGTTTTTTTGTTAAATTGCATCTCAGCCCTCAGAATTGAGAACATATTTTCTAATATTTTCTTCAATACGTTGTTCTGATCAAATAGACATTTTATATTGTATTTTAATTATATATTTAAATATTTATATTATATTTAAAGAATGGTAAAAATGAAACTTCTAAGTTGCAACTTCTGTGTGAATCTTTGTTTGGTTATTGGGGTCGTTTATGCTGAAGTTGTATTTTATGGTTAAAACCCACTGTATTTCTTGTTTTGATTTAGTTTTGGTCAGAATGAGTGTGTACTCTTGAAAGTCGATTTTCAGTGTCATTGTGACACTAAATGCTGAATAGGAGTTTGGAATATTTAGTTTGACTATGCTATGCTAATGCTGGTATGCTAATTCTGAGAGGGATTTTATTTTTATCTCTGCCAAAGGCTGTAGCAGAATCTCCATCTTTATCATAAATGTAACCTGGTATCCCTAAAAATTACATATAAACAATGTCTTACTCCAAAAGGATAAAATTCACGTGACTCTATGTTTGGACTTTATGGCATTCACATCTGTTGAGATACAAGTTTTAATTATGACTGTATATGGATCACATGTTTTATTTTAGGATAGGCTAAGAAATGCATAATATTCTTAAATGCTCATTTCTGGTATGCTTGAAGTACTGTAAAGTAGCTTATTAAAAAAAGAACTGTAATTAATATTAAAGCGCTAAATATAAATGATAGAGTAACATAACATTGTCTTGATTAAAGGTGAAAGGAGGTAAAGGTGAGGAATATGATCAATCACAAAGCCATGGATTTTCAAATGTCATTCCCCTATATGGTGATAATGTACCTCTTTCACATGCAGTTAAATAAGTTGTGAAAATTATTGTACCCTAATGGCTCTGCCGTTAAGTAATTTCTGTCATTATTTAAGTCATTGAGTGACTTAAGGAAGTCACTCAATTTTCCAGTGCATCATTTCCAGTGCATGGGAGGGAATGAAGATGAGGGAGTCAGACTCTTCTCGTAAGTGCCCACTGACAAGACAGAAGGCAATGGGCACAAATTAAAAAAAACAGGAAATTTCATCTGAACACAAGAAAACAATTTTTTTTTTACTGTGAGGGTGGTCAAACACAAGCACAGTTGTCCACAGAGGCTGTTGTGTCTCCATCTGTGGATACATTCAAAACCCAACTGGACATGGTCCTGCACAACCTGCTGTAGTAGAGGCTGCTTCACAAATGCTTCAGTCAATTTTTCTCGAGTCCACTCCTCTGCTAAGGGCTTCCTGCCACTTGGATTCTCTGTAAAAAGCAGCCATAGCTTTTCCTGTATTTAAGGCATTCATGGTAATGCTGTTGTCTGTGGATTCCCTGACACATAATCAGATCAAATGAACAGTGTAAAATTAAAAACCAAAACAAAAAGACAGATACCAATTTGAAACCAGATTTTATTTCTACCAACGCTCAGGGATGTATGCACTTCAAAACTGGAAATTTAAGTCAGGTCCTGCAGGTAACCAAACAGCACGGAATTTTTTTTTGAACTCTCTATTCTAAATATTTGAATTACATTTTAATGCTGTGTTGTTGCTCTATTTAATATTACCTCGTGTACATGTTTAAACTAAACCAAAAATTTAGTTCTCCTTTCCTATTTTGCTTCAATGAGAATGTAGTTCCTCAGACTGTAAAATTCAGTAAGTACCTCTATTTGAGGAGATTAATACCCTGACAACAATAACTTCCCCTTCTGGAAATAAGGGCCTGCACAAAGATAAATATCAAAGTGTTCTGTCCAGACTGTGTTTAACAATTTGCTCTATTTTAGTCATGGTTGAAGGAAAAAAATGAAACATTTTAGATTGAACAGGGTCAAAATACATTCTTCTAAATGTCTTATTGCACAACTTGGAGCTCTAGACTGAAAAACAATCTTGGGTTAACAGGAGTGCATCTTAAATGTTGCATTTGGGATTATCAGAACTGTTTCAATTACTACTAATGAAAATTATGCACTCACTGTACTGAACTAAAAAATAATTTATATAAGTTTCTTTATAGTCTGACGGTTCAGAGACGGCTGAATCTCACCGCTTTTTGGCCTTGGCCCTAGCACTTTATGTGCAAGTTACTAAGTTACTCTAATTTTATGAGACAATTTTCACTCACTCTCAGAGATGATAAAAAATTGTTGTAAAACAGAACCTTTTCTTAAATACCGTAAGAGAAATATCTGGGCAGTTCACACACTGAGAGCAGAAGTTTCTCTAAACTCTTCAAAAAAGTTAAACATCTTATAAAGGCTTTAAAAATTTATGCACTACACAAGTGTTGTATAACACTGATTTTTCTCAGTTTAAAATGTTCTTATTTTCCAAATGATGTCTTGTAATTATGAGCAGAATAAAGCCTTTAGCCTGTCTACTTTTCAACAGCTCACAGAACCCTTTTTAATGGAATGTGCACAACAAATACACTGGGGAAACAGTTGTGTTGATGCTGAACTGAATTTTCTTCCAGGCAAAACATCCTACCCTGGAAGCTATGGGCAAGGCCAATACAGTAGTCTAGATATGCATAATGCACCATTAAAAGTGTGACACCAAATAACATCTGGTGGAAGCAGTAAATCACTGAAGTCATAGTCTATAATGGCTAAACAAATAAAAAAGAGCATCCTTTGATTTAATTACAATATTGATTTAAATGTCCTGTTGGTTTCAGTTGGAGAGAATCCCAGGGAATGCCCTGCCCTCACTGATTTTGTGTGTGGGAATGAGAATTGCATAGAATCTCAGTTCATCTGTGACTATAAACCAGACTGTGAAGACCTGTCAGATGAAGCTGACTGCAGTAAGTATTTCTTTGTTTATTAATGTAATCTTCAGTTAAAATTTTAATTTTAAATTCTGTAGCATAGCTTAGGTGAATTCACTCAGTTGCTCAGAAAATAATTACAAGAAGGTTGCATGTTCCTCCAACACAGAAGGTCTGACATTTTCAGATCCTCAGACATTTGCCGCAAAATTAGTTAAGTGTGATTTAGTCACAAAAGTGTAACTTACTCAAACCAAAGATTAAATATTAAAAAAAAAAAAAAAACAACAACAAAAAAACCCCAAAACAGCTTAAGGACTAAAAACATATTTAAGGAATAAAATCCATGGGTTACAATACAAATTAACTCTGAGAAGAAATGTAAACTCATTTATTAAATTGAAAGCATGCTGAGCTGTCAATGTTGAATGAAAAGCTAAGTAAGCAAATTAATGCACAATAGCATTTAGACATGATTCTGCTATAAAAAGGGTTTATTTAAAAACAGGCCTGTCTTTCCTTTCAGATTAATCCTGTCTTTGTGATCTGAGTTGTGTCACTACTACGTGTTCATTGTTCTTTGCTCTTGCTGCTGTTGCAGAGCTATGAAAATATTTTCTTGCTACTACTCCATTACAGAACAGTTGGACAAAATGCAATCTGTCTATATTTTTTCATTCCTAGTCAATATTGAGACAAAATTTGTCTGTAGGTATTCTTTGCTAATGCTATTTGAGATGGAAGGACACAGTTCAATTTTAAAAATCTGGATCAAGTTAACAGGCTTTCCAAATCAGACTTGAAACTGAAAAGCAATAAAACATTGTGCCTTTGTTCCTGCTCCATGTCTTTGTTTATTTACAGTCACTGTCCGGACCAGGCTTTTGGAGTAGGAAGCTCGAGCAGCCCATATGTACAGTTCTGTAATCAGTCTAATTCTTAATGTTTGAGCTGGAGGGCCAAATTCTGCCATAATGCAGATATGATCAAAAGTAACCTTGGTAGATAAAGTGAATACATCACATGCATCAATTCAGTGCTCACGTTGTGTTGAAGTGCAAGCACTCCATTGAAATCAACCAACGCTTGGTGACCCTTCAAAAACAAAGGCATTTTCTCTTGCATGGGGTTGCTAAATGCTTTGACTGGACAGGGTTACAAAAATAATGACCCTTTATTGGATGATGTAAATTATATTGTTTTAACCAGACAGCAGACTTACAACCTGGACTACATGTGAAGATGTCACTATAGGAGATTTAACTCTGAGTTTCTCCCTCTTTGTTGTTTTCATAAAAGTAAAAGTTCTGAAGTACATATGCTGAAGTTGGTGTCTCTATTTCTGTTTTCTACCTCCTGCAGTGCTTTGCCTTTCAGAGAATTTTGTGAGTCATATTCATGGAAATTAATCTACATTGAACGATAACTTTAAAAGGCTAGCTTTTTTTCAAGTAGATTCCAAGAAAAGATAGATTTTAAACAGGTAATCTGTATTTCTTGTATACAATGTTCATATTTTTTCAGGAGTTAGACAAAGTAAGTGCAGCAAAATACCCTGTAAACTTACCCTTGTAACATTGTACAGACCTAACAGAGACATAGTAAGTCTGAATTGTTGTCCAATGTAAACTGCTCTGTAAAGATATTCAGAAGACTATCGAGGCACTTGATTTATTCTGTAAATATTGTTACAGGATATAGTAGCTTCATCTGGAGGCAGGGGGGTGGACTGTCCTGTGCTGTCTAGAAGGACTGTGATAGCATCAGCTCTTTTTTCTTAGTCAGATAATAGATGGAAACATTTCAGGCCATAAATTATCTCGAGTCACGGTAAAGCAGCACAGTCTTTGCTATACTGCAGAAAAGCTTCTCCAAGGGAAGAAAAAAAAAAAACCTGATATTTGCTTTAAATAAATAGAGTGAAATATCTTTTTATTGTAGATGGACAGGCTGTCGTTATATCAAAATGTTTTCATCAGTCTTTAGTCTTGCTGTTGCTGCAGAACTGACAAAATATCAAGTTAACAATAGAGGAGAGATACTGTAATCTGGCATACAGAATACCCAGATAAACCACAGGTATAATATTTCCCTATCTACTATATCTTAGTTCCAACAAATGAGACATTACATTGGGATAATCACACTTTTTCCCTGAGCGTATATCTTATAGATGGGAATGAACAACATTAATGGGCACATATTACCTTTTAGATATGGAAGCCTCATTTTTTAATTAAAAGGCAACAGGAGCTGCTTAATCAGAAAAAGAGAGCAGAACTGGCACAGAGAAAGCCCTTCACAGTCTAACCTGCCCCATCACAGGTGGTTATGGCCACATTTGTCTGTAATTTTCTCCTTTTCTCTGAGCTCAAGGTCCGAGCTTATTTCACATTCTACTATAGTTTTATACCAGTGTAACTCCAAAGAATTAAATGGACCATAATCTACTCAGCAGCAATTCCTCTATGCAGGATCTACAACAGAATCTGGATTAAACGAATTGTATCCATGTAGGCTGGTAGACTTTTTGTTTTTTTAAATAAACTCATGGAAATTACTTACTCTATGCTTCATTCAATCCAGTCAAGCAATCTTGCAAAAATTTCATTCTCTCAGTAACCTGCTGGAAGTACTGAGGTGAAAAAAGCACACATGAAAGCAGTTTCAATTTTCATGAATTGCAGCCAATTATACACCCAGATTTGATTAATAGCAAACCTCACTGTTGATGAAGCAACTAGAGGAGTGCTTGAATTATTGAAATAAAAGCAATTTTTCAGATAAATGGGACAATCCTCTTCTGGTGGCTTCTAAATAGGGTCTGTTTACCCATAAAATAAAAAATACCCAGCAGGTGCACATATATTGGGTGACTCTGTCAACCCTGTAAATACTGTTCATAAATATTTATTAATAATTGCCTTCTGAATGCACTGTTAAGATACTAGGGTAAAATTCCTGAAGTCAAGTAATTGATTACGAATAGTAAAAATTCCAAATGCATTTGGAATTTGATCTTGTTAGAACTGCACAAGAAAATTGTACCTGTTTCGATTAATGGGTTCCTTTCTTTGCATGCGAGGGTGTTTGGTGTTGGAGTTAGGATATACTAGGCTTACATGATGCTTGTAATGCAGTGTCAATGTGAATGCTCAGTGCATTTGCCTATACCTTTCATGATTCCCGAAGGCCATGCTGTGAATAGCACTAACACAAGCACAGAATGGTTGAGGTGGGAAGGCACCTGTGGAGATCGTCCAGTCCAACCTTCTGCTCAAAACAGGGTCCACTGCAATAGGTTGCCCAGGGCTGTGCCAGTAAGGTTTTGAATATCTTCAAGAATGGAGACTCCACAACTTCTCTGGGCAACCTGTGCCAGTGTTTGACCAGCCCGACAGTAAAAAAAAGAAGTTTTTTCTTAACCTTAAAAAGTCCTTCCTGTGTTTGTGCCCATTGCCTCTTGTCCTGACACCAGACACCACTGAGAAGAGTCTGGTCTGGCTTTGTCCTCTTTACACCCTCCCAGCAATTAATAAATACACACTGATAAAATCCCACTGAGCCTTCTCTTCTCCAGGCTGAACAGTCCCAGCTCTCTCAGCCTCTCCTCATGAGAGACACTTTAGTCCCTGCCAGTAAGGTAAGACTACATTACAGAACAGTACAGATCCTTCTCTTAGCATTCAGTGGGACATACATTATCCACTGGATCAAAATTATTCTTCTTTTAAGATATTTGTCCTATACATTTAACTAAGATGACACATTTTTACAGAAAAGCAAGTCCACAGGGTTACAGTGTGTGTGCAGATCTTGGTCATACAAAACAGGTTTATGATAATGATAAGTCTTTTTTACAAAGGATGGCATCAGTTGTTCTTGTGGCATCAAAAGCAGAAAATAGGAAAAAACCAAAACAGATTACAAAAGGCAATTAAATCTGTTCTTTGTATCTGTATCCTTTATACCTAGACAGTGATACATAAATAGTTGTATTTTAATGCTGCAGAACACTTCTAGGTCAAGAAGCACACTCTAAATCCTCAAATTCATTTGAGGTTCTGAAATAGTCACAGTCAGACCTATTTCTAAAATGCACGACTGACTGTGATGTTTAATAGATTGGAACCTTTTCCCAGAGTCCTCTCACAGGGGTAGTCCTTGGTCTCACTCAGCAATTGTGCAGCTGCCTCTGCTTTATAGCTAAAGACCTTTAGAAGCCAAAGAAGAGTTTGTGATGCTATTTCATTTGTCTCTACCATAGCATTTTTATAATTTTGTTGATTAATTACTTTTACAAAGTCACCTGAAACATCAGAGGCAGATCTAGAAACGGAACGTTGAACGAAGATCTCTTGAATTCAGTCAGTATCCTAATCACTAGAACATGTCTCTCAGCGTAAAACTGCCTTCATGCATAACACACAATGATGAGCCAACATATGTTCTTGAAAAACGCCACTATGGAAGTGGAGTGCAGTTTTGCTAGCTAATTGGCTGAGAATCATTCTGTCCGTTCACCTTGAATAATAACGAAAATTGGTGAAGTCATCGGTCTGTCTTCAAGACTTACATGGACATATATCTGTAATAAAGTTTAAGGCTGTTTATACCTGCTCGGGAAGTGAAGGGTGAATTTTTTCTTTCCTTCCTAATTACCACATATTATTTATGTCAGTACATGGAACACAGGGAATCATAGCATTAGCTAAACAGAATCCTTTCCATTACCATGTACAGTATGTTCATTACAGCCTTTTACATATAAAAGCTGGGATGATAATTTACTTCTTACTCTATTTTCAGGTTACTACACAAGTATTCCTGGAAGCTGTAACTTTGAAACACAAGATCAAGACTGGACCACTGTATGTGGATTAACTCAGGACCCTAGTGATGATTTTGACTGGAATATTAGCAACAGTGCTGTCACGGGACAAACGGGTCCTGATACTGACCATACACCAGGTATTGGCATGTGTTGTACATCACTTTTGGGAAAATGAAATATTCACTGAATTAAAAAAAATGTTCCCTAGATTAGTGCCAAGATAACAGCAAATATCAGTGTGATCAGCTGAGCTTATTGTATATGCAGACAAATCATAGTGAGCAATTAGCACAGCTCACAGAGCAGTTACAACAAGCATTTAAAATGTTCACTTTTACATTAAACTTACAATAGAGGATATGTAACACAAAAAAGCCATGCAAAAAACTATATTAAATGTTTTAACATATTGAGTTTTGTTGTTTATACTATCTGGTAACTTCTAGTTCTGTCTGACCACAAAACCAAACAGCCTGGCATAGTAGCCTATTAGCAACCTTTTTAATCATTGCTTCAGCAGCGCAGTAATTTTATAGATTGCTCTTTTCAGAGTGGTCCTGATTATATCATTCTTTATAATCCACTTCAGCTTGATGCATTTGTTTAGTAATTTCCTAGACAATGAGCTGCTAAATATAATGTGAAGATGCTAATTAATCATCACATCTGGGACACAACAGACATCTTTCTAAAATAGTACGGCATGCCTGTACAAATGTTGTAACTGTCTCCGCGTCTGCAATGATATTATTAATTAAGGGGTTATTTGAAAACTTTTAAAGAACTAGAGATATGAAATTTTAATACAATAAAAGAGGATGTATTTGGCAATAATCATGGATCACAAAGATATTCCATCAGGTCTTGCTCAGACGTGCCGTGACAGTGAAGCCATGCACTGCTGAATGGCTGAAAAACTTTGGATAAACAAAGGTGCGAATAATAGTCCAGCCATCCATTTCTCTCAGGTCACCTGCGCACAGAGTGTAGAGCTTGTATTAAGCAGCCCCTTGACTGAGACCATCAGATGACCCTGACTGTGCTGCAGTCAGTCTCTGGAAAACCTCATTGCATTGCAGGCATTTTTATAGGCAGCTCCATGAAAGTATCAGTTTTGCATTTCCAATATCAGACAAAACAACATTAGGACATGTTGCTAACCTTTAACTCGCTCATGTTTTTCTAAGAACCCAGCTTAATCTGTTGTTATCTTTCCCTCTCCCGATCACCAGCTCTGCATTTTTCTCACCAGTCACTAGTATTTTGTTAATTCCTTTTAGAATTCACTGGATTCAAATGAAATCTCTGTATGAAACCTTGTGTGTCAGGCCCTAATACTCGTGGTTTCTGAAGTGTAACTGCAGTATGAATAGAAAACATTGGACCAATACTTGTAGAAGATGGTCATCTGACTAATAGGGATGAAGAAAAAGTGGAGGCATTCCATGTGTTTTTTGCCTCAGTCTTTAACAATACTGATAGACCTTGGGCTGCTCGGTCCCCTGAATTGGAGGACCATGAGTGTGGGAACAGTGACTTTCCATTTGTGGACACTGAAATTGTGAAGACCAACTGTATCAGCTGAATGTTCACAAGTCCATGCAGCCTGATGGCATTCATCCCAGAGTACTGAAGGAGCTAGAGGATGTTATGGCAGGACCCTGCTCAATCATCTGCCAAAGGTCTTGGGAGCCTGGGGAAGCCCCTGCTGACTGGAAGATAGCCAATGTTATTGCAGCTTACAAAAAGGGTGTGAGGGAACACCCAGGGAACTACAGACCTCTTAGTCTAACCTCAGTTCCTAGAAAAATTATGGAGAAGATTGTGCTGTGTACTACTGAAAGGCATTTAAAGAATATGCAATCATCAGGCACAGTCAACATGGGTTCACAAAGGGAAAGTCCTGTTTAACTAATTTGATCTCCTTCCATGATAACGTCACTTGCCCAGTGGATGAAGGGAAGGTGGTGGATGTAGTTTTTCTGGATTTTCGTAAGGCTTTTGATACTGTCCCTCACAACATCCTTCTGGACAAGTTGTCCAACTGTGGGATGAGCGGGTTCATGGTGTGCTGGGTGAAGAACTGGCTGAAGGGCAGAGCTCAAAGTGTTGTACTGAATGGGGCTACATCTGGTTGGCAACTGGTCAGCAGTGGTGTTTCTCAGGGTTCAATTCTAGGGCCAGTTCTGTTCAATATATTTATCAACGATCTGGATGCAGGAGTTGAATGTACCATTAGCAAGTCTGCTGATGACACCAAACTGGGAGGTGCTGTTGACTCTCTTGAGGGACAAGAGGTCTTGCCAAGGGATCTAGATAGATTGGAGCATGGGGCTATGATTAATGGGATGAGATTTAACAAGTTGAAATGCTGGATTCTGCACCTAGGATGGAGTAATGCTGGGCACAAGTCTAAATTGGGAGAGGAGTGGCTGGAGATCAGCCCTGCAGAAAGGGATCTGGGGGTGCTGGCTGACAGCAGGCTCAGTGTGAGTCAGCAGTGTGCCCTGGCAGCCAAGAGGGGAAACCACATCCTGGGGTACATCAAACACAGCACAACCAGCCAGTCAAAAGAGGGGATTATCCTGCTATACTCAGTGTTGGTGCGGCCTCACCCTGAGTACTCCGAGCAGTTTTGGGCCCACAATCTAAGAAGGATGTGAAGGTCCTTGAATGCCTCCAGGGGAGGGCAACAAAGCTGGTGAAAGGGCTGGAAGGAATGTCCTCTGAGGAGCAGCTGAGGACTTTGGGCTTGTCTGGTTTGGAGGAAAGGAGGCCGAGGGGTGACCTCATTGGTCTCTACAGCTTCCTGAGGTGGGGAAGTGGAGAGGGAGGTGCTGAGCTCTTCTCCTTGCGATCCAGTGGTAGGACACATGGGAATGGTTTAAAGCTGTGCCAGGGGAGGTTTAGACTGGACATTAGGAAGCATTTCTTTACTGAAAGCATGGTCAAACACTGGAACAGGCTTCCTAGAGAGGTGGTCAATGTCCCAAGCCTGTCAGTATTTAAGAGGCATTTGGACAATGCCCTTAATAACATGCTTTAACCTGGTCAGCTCTGAATTGGTCAGGCAGTTGGACTAGGTGATTGTTGTAGGTCCCTTCCAACTGAAATATTGTATTCTATTCTAATAAATTTCTGCTATACAAAGAGTCTGACTTTAGAATTTGAATTGTCTGAAATTGTAACTGGCTATGATAGTACTCTTCTCCTTGTCAAAGGTTTGAATAATCTACTTTTCCTGGAGTGTGGTACCATCCTAATGAATTTTAGAAAAACAGGCAATGATACACTGGTCCTTAAAGAATGGCTGAGGAGCAGTGGGTGTGGATGCATGTGAAATGCTTAAGGTTCCTACCTAAGATCTTGGTTTAACTTACCTCCCTGACATTGGCTTGCCAGAAATCTTAATATAGAAGTGTTTCCCTAGATGCCCCTACAAGATGTTGCTGATAGACTACTACCAGAATGCCTACTGATTGTTAGGAGAATGAAATTGTATTGATAGGCAATTACAGTTATCTGTGTTATGTAGACAGCAAGCTGTAATTGTATATCTTACTATATAAATATAAAATAATATAATATTAATGCAGATTATATAATATAATAAATCTGGTTGGAATATTAATTTCCATCATAAATGTGCCAGTGTCTATTTGATAAGTGCTTAGCTCTCCTTTCCAGAAGCTTGAACAGTTAGAAACACTATTTTGATTTCTATCTAATCAGCAAGTATAGTTAGTATTCAATGTAGAAGCATCACAATCTCTACTGTTTTTCTCTTGAACTTGTAAGCAGCATGATCTCTGGGTTTTGACTCTTTTTTGGTGATTTGCATTTCCAAATTCAACAGAGACATCTTATCAGCAGGTGGTTGTAACTGTTTCTGTCCTACTCATTTATCCTCCCTTTTCCTTTAGAAAATTCTGCACCTGCTGCAAGAGCTGCTCACCTGATCATGATGGAACTGCTTATCTGCCACACATCACAGTTTTTCATTTTAGAGGAAGCAGACATCCATACTAGTTTGTGTTGCTATTGCAGGCTGTAAATGTGGAAGTTCATTCCTCTTGGAAAGGGACAGAACAGACAGGTAGAGGTACAAACTTTTGCAACTGTCCCAGGCAAGCTGTTCCTTGAAAATCAGTAGTCTGACTTGCTTTCTTGCTGTTCCTTTGATGCAGCGTAATGACAAAACAACCAGTAGCCCTTGGCTCTTCAAGGAGATTTTGTGTGCTTTTCTATTTCAGTTTCTTTCATTTAATTAGTTCTTCTATGCTTCTGTTAAATTACCCAGCAATTGTAAGAAAAACAAAGTTAATAAAAAGCAAGGGAAAAGGAAAACAAAATTAGAGCAAATGTGTTTGCAAAATTACCCAGATTTGTAATTTACTTGTAAATTAACTGGGCAAGAAATATTCACATTAGGTATAAAGAAATCACTTGTCAGAATTGCCAACGGCCTAGATACTGATGACCTGTAATGTCCAGAAGTATCTATCAGCCCATTCCCGACTGAAATCCAATTCCTTCTTGTTCCAAACTCATTTCCTCTAGTTACTAAGTATATAAATTCATCGTACAGAGCATGCATGCCATTATAGCAATATAATGAAGTCTGTGATATTATACCAACTTTGTATTAAGAGTATTGGCACAACTTTGTGTGGAGGAATCTCATATTTCTTTAAATATGTCTTATATTGCTTCATGTAACACAACTTAAATTGACATTACAGATTTCAGATGGATAGAAATGTTAAATTGAAAAAAATTTGCATCAGTTTAACAAAATTAACTTATTGCATTGGTACAGTCTCTGGAAGAAGATAAGCCCTCTAATTTGAAAACAAAGACTTTTAGTGATAACAACTATGTTTCACCTGTTTAACATTCTGCAATCTGACCAGTGTGTAGCTCATGCAGGTCTCAAATTTTAAAATATTCCTTTCCATACATTTCCTTCTCAAATCATTCTTTCTTGCTCAAAACCAGGACACTTTCAACCTTTTGCCACTGCATCTGTGAGCTATTTAAATATTCAGAGGATGTAGCTGATTAAGTGCAGAACATTTTCAACCTCAAAATCTTCAGCCAAATGCAAAATCAAACTTGTTTAACTTTTGCTATATATTGTATATAATTTTGCCATATATCTTATATCATGTACCAAGGAGTCGGGCACCTTGGTCTTCCAGTTTGCTGGTCAGTATGCAGCTATATGTGACCATTGTATTTATGAAGTATATAGTATATCTGTGTCATTATAATATTTAAAATAGTATTTTCTCTCCTCACAAAATGTATTTCTTGAAAAAGCTTGAGGCATAACATGATACCCAGATAAGCTCACTGAAAACATCATCTCAAACAAGATTGCTTCAAAGACCGTGAGAGAAACTAAGAACATTTCCTTGATAGCCATTACAATTTACAAAGAGCCCAAATTCTGGGTTTCCTTTGGCTGAGATCCATACTGAATAATTCTCATTCTGAAAAAATGATCATCAGCAGGTCTGTAAGAATGGCGTGTTGAACAGCAGTTTGAAAGCCCATTACATAGCTTCATTTGATGAGTGAAAGGCCTAAAATTGCAATCAGTTTTAGGTAGAAATAACTGCAGCTCACTTCAGACAGGAAATAATTTTTTATAGTTTCACCTCAGTCCAAGTGGGTCTGACTCTTGAAATAACAGGTCAATGAACAGCTTTCTGGTTTTGCTTTCTTAAAATCTATATTTGCCACCTTACTAATAAGAAGTGCTAGATTGTATCTCATATTGATCTTACAATATGCTGAAAAAAACCTTCTTATTTTTGTTTCAACATAATTTTTTTTTTAGTGATGGAAAAATTGTAGGAGAAGGAAATCATTTGCCCTCTAGACCTTACAATGAGGCTGGCAGCTAGGGGGCTTTAATCAGTCTGCCAGAAAATTTAGAGATCATGCCTTAGCATATGATGCTTATACTATTTCTATAATTTGTCAATATAGGGAAAAGCTAAATTTTAAAAATTGAGTCTATCACTATCCAGTTTGTCTTACAAATATTTCTTTCCTTTCCAGGATAGCAATTAGTTAATTCAATATTTTTTCTGTGCATCTGCCTCAACATCATCACAATTGCTACTCTCCTTACAATCATATCTTCTTAAAAGTTACATCCCACACACATGCATAAATCATATACCTTATTCTTCACAAATCTGCATTCTTGAATTATTTTACTTTAATGAAGAATGAGATTTGAGAAACTTTAAATTGCAAAATATGTGAAACTACACTCTTAGATTCAGCTGCAGAATACATGAGTTCATCTATGAGGGGTGGGTATACTGAGTGGGTATGAAGGCCCCAAGTTTATTTTTAAGGATCTGAGAAATTATTGCCATAAGAAAGAGAAGATGGTATAGTGCAGATGCACAATTTACACGAGTTCATCCACAAGTTAGTTCAAAAACTCCTTTCACAGGAATAGCCATCTTCTTTACAAAATGTTCATTAAAATTTCTCTAATAATACAAAGCAAAAAACTGTCCTAATTGGCAGGAAATAAATTTTTTTCAGATATATCACTTGTTAATAAGCTGTTCACAGAGAGGCTTAGAAGAGCTTATATGGGGCTGGCTGGACTACTATTATGATTCTGATCATGTTTTATATGTCTTGTGTCTCTTAAAACAAAAGTTAGGATACATTCCTTAGATTAAAAGTTCTGAACTTTTTTCTCCTGAGAAGACTAAGCATGACCTTCAACAGTGTCAACAGAAAAAAAAAAAAAAAAGTTTCTCTTATTCTCTGAATAACTGAGGTATTTTAAAATTTGAAAATAGAGTTTTGAGAGAGCTTACTTAAAAAGTTCTTGCAGAAACAAAGCTTAGTGAGCAGCCTTACTAATTGTTACTACCTTACCAATGTGTTCCATCATTTCATACATTTATGTAAGTAAAGAACAGATAGGACTAATTGGCTGACTTTCTGAATACTATTAATACTGTGGTTTGGGACAGTAATGTTTGGAGTTCATATGCAGAAGCTCCTACTTGGTGACTCAGGCAAGAACTGGAGGTTTGGTATAGTGGAGAGGTACTACAGTTCAGAATATACTGTTTTGCCCATTTTACAGACAGGGACTGAAGGTATGTTTGCACATGCACTGTCTTCCCAGTTTATATTTGTATTTCATGGTGTCCTTGAGATCGGCTTCCCAGATGACCCAAAGGTGTGGTATGTGTGCCCTCTGCAGAGGACAGCACACAAGCACACCAAGCCACGGCTCTATTCTGCATTTTGGAGTACAGACTGTCTGTATGGCCATGACTGGAGCATATCCCACCACAGGAGAACCTTCTGAAGGGAATAGTTTGATTGCAGTGCCCTCTGTGCCCCTTAGCTTAGATAAAATATGTGTCTACCCTCCTGTTTTGACAGCAGAATTGTTTGGTCAGTAAAACTACATTAAAAAGCCTTACCAGGCTGCTCAGACCTGCTGTCTGAGCTCAGAGCTTCAGCAGCCACTTGCCGTGACTATTGCCAGGTGGTGTGGGTGAAGATGACTTTGCACTTCATCCATTGATGCTTACTCTAACACTGTCGCAGTTACCCTCTACTTGACCCTCACCAAACATCAGCATGTGTCCAGCCAGCTGCACCCCTGTTTTGGCTCTGGGTGAGATGGAGTTAATTCTCCCCATAGCAGCCCTCGCAGTGCTGTGCTCTGTACTGGTAGCTAGAAAGGTGTTGGTAACACACCAGTGTTCTGCCTACTGCTGAGCAGTGCTCCCACAGCGTCAAGGCTGTCTCATCAACATTTCCCCCCCCTCACCAGCAGGCTGGGGGTGGGCACGATCTTGGGAGGGGACAAAGCCAGGACAGCTGACCCAAACTGACCAAAGGGATATCCCATACCATGACGCCTGCTCAGCAATAAAAGCTAACTGAAGGGAGGAGGAAGTGGGGGGCATTCGTTATTTACATTTGTCTTCCGGAGCAACCGTGATGTGTACTGAAGCCCTGCTTCCCAGGAAGTGGCCAGACATCGCCTGCTGATGGGAAGTAGAGAATAAAATCTTTTGGTTTCCTTTGCTTCTGCGCACCACCTTTGCTTTCGCTTTATTAAACTGTTCTTATCTCGACCCACGAGCCTTTCATTATATTTTCTCTCCCCTGTCCAGCTGAGGAGGGGAATGATAGAGCGGCTTTGCTGGGCACCTGGCCCCCAGCCAGGGTCAACCCACCACAACCCCTCTCAAGCAGGTCTTAATACTACCCGCAGCCTACCAGGAATAAAAACTCAAGCCACAGTTACAAATGCAAAGGAGATTCAGACAGCAATTAACTTACCTTAGATAAAATATGCTACCTGGATCTTGACACACCTTCCCAGCCCCTCCCAACCCCAGTCTAGCTTGATTAAAGTCTCAGTCACTCTGAAGCCTTCTCCTTGTAAAGGACTGCAAAGTTAAGCTAAAGCTTTGGGTTTGAGCCTGATTATGGTCTTGAGTTAGAAGGGGATTCTTTTGGTTTGGTTTGGGTTTGAGTTTGTTTTTTTTTCCCCCCGAAGAAGCCCCTTTGAGATAGTTAACCATCTATTTTGGCTGCAGCTAAGGCATGACTTCCATGGTAAATTAGAGAGAGTGCACTGTGCTTTACGTGCTGCCATAGCATGCTGTCAGTGAAGTTACAGAGAGACCAAATCTGGAAAGATGTCAGAATCCCATTCCCAATGAAAACTGAAGAAAACACTAGAATGCAAAGACAAAATCTTGATCTGGTTATAATGAAGGGGAATTCAGTCTTTTACATCAGGAACAAGAACTGAGCCATGGGGTTGAATCCTTCTTTGGAGTAGTTCAACTACTCCAAAACAACTAGTAGTGCAGCTCTGATCTTCAGGTGTTGGTTCTTTTGGATCTAGGAGGAAGTTGTCTGCTAAGTTCTTCTGTGTGTTGCTGCTCAGGACAGCCCCAGCAGGTGCCCTCCTCTTTGTGAAAAATCTCCCCTCTTCACCACAGAAGGTTCTGTCATACTATTCTCTCCATGCAGGACCAAACCTTGCTTTTACCATAGCAGATACAATTGAAGTGATGACAAGGAAGGAGCCACAGCTAGTTAATAAAAAAGAAACCAAGTCAGCAGCTTAATTTGTATTCAACCACTTGCTTTTGGTGGTGTGTGTTCATTTTAGGTGATAGGCCTCTTTTTGGGGTGTAAAAGGGCAGCATCTTTTTCTGCTTTGAATTAACTTTAATGCTACCCTGTGGTTCTTCAGTAGCAGCTGAACAATAGGAAATGTGGATATCTTGGCCCACTAACAAGCCTCAGGTCTTCGATGTATTCCCTACTGTCATGCTGCATTGACAGGGAATTTTCCTGGGTAAGAGCTACCAGCAAATGTGCTCCTGACTCCTGCAATGTCAGCCTTCAAACTGATCCTTAGAATACGTGAGTGAGTGTTTGTGTTTGCAACATATTTTAAATTTTTTATTCAAATATGAATCAAGTATTCACACAAGGATAAAAAAGAGTAAGCTCTGAGGAAGGTTATATTAATATTGTATGTAAAAAACAGAAGTACACAAAATATTAACAGGGAAGATATCTGTACAACCAGGGTAGGGTATACATATATGTGGTAAAAGACACCAGTATCTGTGTGTGTAAAAATGTTTATGCTCTGAAGCATAAAGTAGTATTGAAAAACTATAAATGTTTCTTATCTTTTTATTAAGGTAAAGGACAGCATTTTTTGTATGTAAACTTATCTGCCCAGAAGGAAGGAAACAGAGCGAGGATAATTACCACCAAACTATTCCCAGCTAGCCTTGGGGTCTGTAGGGTTCGCTTCTGGTTCTGGATGTTTGCTTCTAGGCAAGCAGGAGTCTTAAAGGTAAGAGAAAATGTACTTCTATTATATCATGACATAGCAATATTTGCTTTAGTAATATTTGCATTTCAGTGTCTAGAATGAGCAAAATCTCAGAGCTTTTATTAACAGTACTTCATTACAACTTCACTGCAGTTACACCTATATACAATTTTTTTGCTGATGATCAAGTGACAATTCTGTTTTAGTTTTTAGTTTTAATTCCACTTGAACTCTTTTTGCTACCTATGTAAGAATTAACATTGCATGTTTGACTACCATACTACATACCAAACATCACTGCAGTTCTCTGCACAATTCACTCTTTAACATAAAATAGAGGTACTTTCCAATGTTAAGGACAAAAACAGGATGTGGTTTAAAATAAAAACTTTAAACATATTAATGTAACCACGTATGAAGGGTGTTTGATTAAAATAACTGGAAATAAAGCATCTAACCATATTAATAATTATAGCTCAAGCTTCCATGAAAATGTCTTCTTGCTGTTCCTCAAGCATCCTTAATGGGCGCACTTTTAGTTGTTAAGTACCTAGTAAAAGTCAAAGCAGTGACATGAACCCTTGGCAAACAATTGGTTTCCTGTGGCTCACTAAATAAATATGTTACATAGTGCCTTCTTTAGAGGTCTGGGCAATACTCCTATCTGTGGCAGTTTGCTAAATTTTGAAAATACACGTTATGTCAGTTTTACTATGTGTGACAGAATATAAAAATTTGCATATACTATCAAACTCCTGAAATAAATTAGTCTGTCTTAAAAGTGAGCAAGAATACTTTTGTGGTCTTGGACCTGGAATTAAGTCAGGAATTTTGGACCACTGTTTAAGTATTTATTCTCTTTGGTCTGGTTCTCCACTGTAAAGGACAATTAGCACAGTTCCACGGGATTATAGTGCAGTTCAGGCTGGAAGGGCCTCAGGAGGTCTCTAGTTCAACTTCCTGCTCCAAGCACAGTCAACTACAAGATCACACTAGGTGGCTCAGGAATTTACCCGGTCTTGAAAACTTCTATAAATAGAGACTACTCGAACTCTCTGGCCAACCTCTGCCACTGCTCGACTGTCCAGCATGAAAAGGCTTCTCCTTATATCCAGCCAAAGATTAATGTTACCTTTTACTCTACCTTTTGTCTACCTTTAAGTAATTTTTTTCAGGATGAGGTTTGCATCTCAATTTTATCTCTAGCACCTAGTTCAGGGATACTCTGAGTATTGCTATAAACTTAATTAATAGTAACAAAGAAAAAAAGCTGTATTATGTGAAGTTAGTATAAGCAGCAGATACTTTTGTTCTTCAAACAGATTTTAAATGTTTCAGATTACATTATTTTAACATTTCTTTCTATCTAGTGAATAAAAATGCTCAAAATGTATTCTTCCCAAAGATACTTCAGTTATTTAAGATGAATTTTTAAGAAGTGTTTATTTTGTAATCTTGTAATTTTATTATCTGATTACAGCTTTTAAAATACTCTGCCATGTCTTCAAGTCCATTCTTTCCAGTTTGCATTATTCATCCTTCCATGTACACAGTTTGCACATTAAGATTAAGAAAACAAAACAGTAGGTAAAGGTCAAGAGCAATTCCAGACTAAACTGAAATAAAAAGCAAACAGCAATTGCTTTTTGGATCTGTTGGTAACTGAAATAGTGTGAGATTATCTATGAATACCTACTTGTTTAAATTCAACTATCCTGGATGTTACAGCATGCAAGAGTACAGACAAGATTTTTTGAAGGAGCTTCTGAAGTTTTTCAAGCATCACAGAACACTTTAACATTAGTGAATAAGTAGATGTGTGTGGCCTATGTGTGAGATAGTAGGCAAGCCAAACAGCGTCTGCTTCTTAATTTATTATTTTGCATTTCAAACAGACTAGTTTAATTAAGTCTCATTACCTTCAATTTCATAAATAGATCCATAAAGGATTGTCTTACTCCCACATACAAATAAGGTTCCCTGTTTATGGCTTTGCAACATGTACTCTTTATGTAGAAACATATAACAATATTCATAACAGACTGAAGTACTCAGCAAGGAATTATCATCCTATCACAGCCCCAATCTACCCTTATGGACATTTTGGGTTTTTTCTATCAAACTAATAATGTATTTCAGCATCAACTGTTGCTGATATTAAATCAAGAATATAAATGAACTGTAACCATTTAAGTGGAAAAAAAGTCTAAATGAACAAAAAAGAAAAACAAAACCAGCAGCCCAAAACTCCAAAAGCAACAGCTCAGTGAAGATTTTGTTCAGGTTGCACTGGAGGTGAAAAAAGTCAAACTGTAATAGGAAGTCTGAATAATGTGTTACAATACAGTAACATCAGTACAAAAGCTGATGTTATAGCTGTTATCTGAAATACAGCTATCCGGTCAAGCCTGAATTAAAAAATAAAACGAGTACAGATATAGAACATACCGAGATATGTGATTAAAACAACATACAGGGAATCTGTAAAAAAGAAAGATAAAAATGAAGGATGTATTGGTATAGGAAGTAGATGTGGTAGAACTACCCAAAATCATGTGAAGTTATGGGAATAATCCTGTTTTAACCCAGAAAAGGAACTAGTCACTGAGAACAGAGAAAAAGGAATTAAAAGTGCTTCTCTTCTGTATTCACAATGCACATTTCAGTTGCACAATTCTATTGTCATAAACTCTGTAATTTGTTCATAGGGAAACCAAAAGCTTAGATTATTATTATTATCTTTAAAAAGGACACAATGTTTACAGCAATTCTTGCATTAACATAGAACAGATGCTATTTAAAAGAGATCTGAACACTTAGGCTTCAGGACATCAGTCATCTATTATCCAACAGGAGAAAAAAGTTGCTTCATAATGATTAAGTACAAAACCACTAGATTTCCCTTGGTATATATGGTAACAGCCTTTGAGAGGTGACTTTTTCAGCACTAAATATATGACTGTTCTAATATACCAATTAATATGCTCCGAACAAGAATAGCTCTTAATATAAACAATTTTTACTGCATTACACTGCATATGTAAGTTAAAAACATACATTTCTCTTCACATTTTTATGACTTTTAGTTGCATTTAATGAAGCAGGAGAAAAGTTTCAGCAAGAAAGGGATGTGATTTTCACATCTGTTTCGTTCCAATGGGGATCCTATTGGTCAACTGTCAGACAGAAAACATTCAGCTTTCATTAAGCTTCAGCATTCTGTGTCTGTCCATTTACTTCAGGAGTCTGTCATACAATTGAGAATTAAAACCAAAATTAATTCCCTATGTGATAGTATAACTCTAATAAATCAATTTTTTCTGCCTTGGTATTTGTTGATAAAAACAGAACTGAGGTATAGCAAATTTTGGTATAGGGCAGGTCAATTCTACTAAAAATGACTAAATTTTTTATTATTGCAAACTTGTGTTTAAAGAAATAAAGAGAGAAGAGGTAGATAACTGTTGCGAATGAGTGGTTTGGACCGCTTAAAGAATCACAATCAAAGCTATTAGCAAAAGTGATTTTACAGGAGTCTATAAAAGCATGACTTCACAAAGTTCAATGGCAAGGTTCACTCTATTACTTAATCCATGGATGAAGCATAAAAAGGAAAATCAAGTTAGAATCAAACTAGAATGATTTATACAGAGACCAAAAATGCAAAAGAGTAAGGGAGAAACATACAAAGGAAAATTGAGTTAGAATTTCTTTTTCATGATTTGCACAGAGATCGGAGATGCAGAAAGGTAGGAGAGACCCTCCCATAGAGTCACGAAGTTCAGAGATGACCCCCTTGCTTTCTAAACTCCTGATGGATCTTGGGTGCAGCTGGATCCACTCCTAGTCCTAGACTTGGTCAACGCTTTATGTCTGGAAAGATTATATGTGTGTATCAGCAGTCTGAGGTGCATTCACAGTTTAAAATGAATCACAAGATTTAGCAGTACTTAATCTTTGACAAAGTTAACATTTTACAAAGTGATTAAGTAGAATTTACTACAATCACAACAGTGACTTAATTATAGATTCAAAAAAGCAATATTTATACTATACTTGCTATCAGATACCTGGGTCAATTCACAGACACATGCACACAGACACTACAATAGATAAACATATAAACAGGTATACCTGTTAAAAATTCCTCTTGAGTTCAGTGAAATATTCATGTCAAATATCTCAGCATTTCTGGATGGCTGAAGGGTATCAGTCCAGGTGCCATCATCAGCTTTCAGCGACGGTCCTCCAATTTTCACAAACGGGAGAGTTTGCGAGCTCTGAGAGGTGTCCCACTCAGAGGGAGATGCTGGTCACAGCCCGCTGCGGGCCAGGAGACCTCAGAGGGCCTCACTTGGGACCACTGTTTATAGGTTCACAACATGATTGACTTTCGTCAGCGTAATACCATTCTGGCCATAATTCCTGTCAGGCAACCACAAAGGTGAGACATGATCCAAGCAGCAGGAGTCTCACGTACAGTTCCGGGCGACAAGCATTTCAGGTGCAGTTAGGGGATGCCTAATTGTCCTGAGTCACTGGACCATTGCCAGGATAAGAAAGTACCAGGCTGTCCCAACTCACTGTGCAAGGACACAATGTTGGCTGGTCCTGGCATTGTGATGTGGCCCAGGGGGGCTGCACCACCACAATCCACCCCATGACTAAAGTCAATCTATCTTTATCTCACAGAGTGGCGGTGTGGTGGCCTCTTGCCTCTGTGCCTATAAACAGATTGATGCCGTATTCCAGTTGTAATTTGAGGAAAATTTTTGGTTGGTCTACTTAATTATTAATGTTTTGCTAGATGTGGTTAAGCAGCGTTGTAGATGCAGGGAGGGTTTTGTAACAAGAACTAGTAGAATTACTGTGGGATGTACTATTCCATTTAAAGTCCCTGTTGTGGTCAGTGACCATCCAAATAAGGTATCCTACTGCACCACCACAATAACTTCTTAAAGCGCTTCTCTATTGTGACAGTGAATTGTGATACAATTTTGCTAATCTGATTTGTGGGCTTCAGAGAAACAATTTCGGTCTGCCTCTGGTGTAGCTTCAGTCCAAGGAAGATGTGCAATGATGACTGCCAAGGAATGTGAAGAGTTCAAAGGCATGATCTAAAGGATGTAGAGCAGAAAACATAGTAACATTATTCACTGGAGTCAATGGGAAGTTTCCCCAGCTCACACAAGTCTCCAGTGCCTAGTGAAGTGAAAACAGGTTGTCTTTCACAAGATTTTCCTGCTTCCTTGATTCCTGGTGATTAAAGACTATGTTGGGAACGGTGGGAGAATACACCTCTTGCTATGCACCCATTAGATCTGCATTGGCTTCTTGGTTATTAGTCAGTTCAGATGGAACATAGTAGCTTCCAGCATGCCAACTGCTAGAGTCAGGCAAGATCAGGAAGATAACATGCTATCTTGAAAAGTCAGCATGAGGGTACAGGATAGCCACATGACTTGTAACTGCTGATGACTAAGTAGAAAATAACAGTTTATATTTTGTGACCTTCGAAAGTGCATGCACCTTCCCCATCCCCAAAATGAAATAGAAGCTGAAAAAAGAATTCTGAAGTTTCTAACACACAGGACATGCTGTGGAGAATTAGAACTGAGTCATGATTTTAAGGCAGGGAAATGGGATTTGCTAAAGAATGCTGTTCACATATGGACTACAAATGAACCAGCTGGCAAAGGCACCTTGGAGAAAGACCAAAAAGCAAGTATAAAAGCTCCACTCACGCATTTGTCTCATGCAGATTATCATGCTAAATTCTTCTTAAAACCGCCGTGAAGTATGTATTGGTTATCTTCACTCCTGAGCTTTTCACTCTGCAGTGAATGAAGTGATAGCTCTATTTCTGTTGATTCCTATTGTTTGTGATTCCAGCTGTGTGTGCAATCTAGAAATGGTGTCAGCACAGAATGAGGAATAGACAGATATAGTGACTAGTTAGTACAATGCATGCTTGTTACTTTTAAATTAAAATGATGGGATTTAGCCCACAACTAGATCAGTATTAGCTGGAACACAATCTCCCCAGACTGATAGATACAGAGTTGTTTAATGGGACTTCGCTACAGGGGTTTTTTTTCGTTATATGCCATATAGTGGGGTTCATCTTGCTAGCTTTTTCCTCTTTCACATGTTAAATTGTTTCCACTACCAAGCTAGCTTGTACACAATTCATAGGATGCTGTGTAGGGAGGTGTAGTCTCTGGAGGCACTAAGAATGACACAGCTGTAGCTCTCCAGGGCTCTAGGGAGCTCATATCCATGAGAATATGCTCTATCTTTCATGTGCTGTATATGTTTACTCAGGCCAGCAAAAATCTTGTATATGTTAAACTTACTTCCTGCTCTAGAAGGTGCTTCAAACTTTCAGTGACACGGGTAACCTCAGTGAAGAATACAGTATTACATGTTATAATTGTTTCTTGACTTTCTCTGGGCACAATCTCTGAGAGAATAAGATCTGTATCCCCAACTAAAGGAACAGACTACCTGGGCTTCCCATTTTTCTGAACTCCATTGTAATCTCTTTTGATTTAGCATGTATTTTAAAATATGTGTTATGCTTTTAGAAATTTCAGCTAAAAATTTTTGAAGATACATAGGAACACAGACCTTTCCCTGGCATAGTTATGGACTGATAAAGACTTAGAGAAGTGAAGTAGAAGTATTCAGGAGTACTTTGGTAGGAAGTGGGATTGAACAATTTCCCCAGGAGTGTACATGAGAAATGGAGCAGAGCTGGGAGCTCACCTGAGATTTCCTATAGACCAGTGTAGAGACTTACACTAAATGCTATCAGTTTCCGCAGGTTACCTATGTGCTTATTATGAGAAACCATACAACAGGTTTAAACTCAAGTCAAACCTAACTGAGGACACAGCCACACAAATTAACACAACATATTAACGAATCCATAGTAATTACATATCTGCATGCCCTTACTCTATGGTAAATATGAGTTAAATCTTAAAGAAAAGAAAGACAAGGCATATAAAATTACCTTACGTCTATGAGAACAGAAGCTGATGTCATCAAAATGTTGCACTTTAGACCCAGTTAGACTTGCTGCCACCCCAGACCCATCAGACAGTATACATACAGCAGGTTTCATGATGGATTTATTGTTTGTACTGAGCTTGAGCTGCAGGGTTGATCTGTATGTACACAGAATGACTCCATGCTCCACCTGAGACCAGGCTTAGTACGGACACGATGCAATTTCTCTGTATGTAGACAGAACTGCTGATGCAGGCAGAGTGCTTTGAAATTTTTACTGTGAAAAACTTCTTCTACCAACCTGCCAAAAACGAATGGAAAAAAACATCCAAACTTAAACAATGGGCCAGTCTTTAACTGTCCTGTTAAAAGAGACTCTGGTATTGTCTTCAAATGTTTTTGATTCTTCCTCCTTCCCCAACAGTTATTTGTGCAGCTGTGAGACTTTACAATGAGATATATAGAAAGCAATATTATCTCAATATTAACCTTCAAAAAGTGGAAAATACCACTGCATGATACAGTAATAGCTAAAACCACACTAACACTATTATGTGCTGTAAAACTGTAGATCAGCGAGATTGTTGTATTTCATGATTGGTAAAATAGTGAATGGTTCCACTGACACATAGAGGTGTTGTAACATAGTCCTAACCTCGCATGTAGAGTTAGTCTAATTAAGGGTTTCAACTTATTAAGGCCTTAGAGCCTGATAATGTGGTTACACACAGTTTTTCATTTTTTTTAATGGGCTGAAGCAGCTATTTCTTCTCAACACCTGTCCTTTTAGCCCTGCAAGATGCATACTTTTAAGAAGACATTGCTGTTACTCAGTCCTGTAAACAAACATCAGGCTTGACAAAATTAGGTCCTGATTTGGATTATTGTATGTCAGTCTTCTTGATCTTCCTCTCCTCCAAAAATTAAATAACTTGCAAGAGTGCTCAGGCATCAGAGATATTTTAATCAATACACCAACTTCCATAAAGTATGTGGTTCAAAGTGCCATTTTTAGCTCATTTGTCCCACTAGGTTGGCTGTGAGAGTCAAAGGTATGCAGGTATTTACATCATTAGTATGGGTTTGAGTTTATAACTTTCTTGAGTCTCAGGTTTTGTGTTCCATCATTAAACTGGGGCACTCAAGTGGGAACATGAACCCATGGGGTCACTGGAAAATTAGTCTAAAGGCTTAAGAGATGGATGTTGTTGAAAGTGATGAGGAGAGGATAATGATTAAAATATTCAGTCTCTTTAAAGAAATAGTTATCATCTGGAATGTCTAGAATATGCCAGAATATGATAGAATATGCTTACTTTCATTCCTGCAGTTCTTTTTCATTATTTCTGACCTGTTCTAGATTGTATAGGTATTCTGGATCTGAGTGGGAGAGCAACTACCTGGGTAAACCACTGAATTTCCTGTGCTTGGCATTAATTCATCAGTTGTTGGTTAATTGTGATTTCATTCATTGTTATTCTTATTTCTTTCACTATTTGATGATTTTATTTATTTTTATTTATGGTTTTGCTAAATATGCTTGGGCAAATTTACCATGACTGCTTGAAACACCATATTATGAATTGCTTGTACCAGACAACAGACTTAAATCCCTAGATGCTAAGCCTTTTATTTATATTTCTGAAAGCTTCACCCAGTCTGTTAACTATAAGGAGAGCACCTTTTAGAGATGAAAGCATAGCTCAAGATCCTTCTCAGTCTTTTCATCAATGGTTAGATGAATTTGGGGTTAGGTCTGTACTCATTAGCTTCTGTTTGTCAGGCCAAGACTGTCTGTAGTTTTTCCAGTTAGTGATTGTATTAGCAGTTCTTTTTATTTTATTTTGCTTTCATAGTAGCTTTTTATTTGCAGCTGAACTAGAATTAACAAAAGTATTCAGAAACATTTGGTCACCACCAATAAGCTGTGGGTTGGAAGCATATCTAAGAGGGCCAGTACTACCCAGGCAGGTAGCTGCACTACTGGGCTTGGGCTATGTTACTCTGGCTAGCTGCTCTCCTCTCTTGCTTAATGCTGATTCAGTTGCATCTCTTGGGCTTCATTGTCAACAGGTATACACAGTTGGAGATCATGGAATGGATATTCTTTTCTGGTCATCTAGTAGAAATGAAGAAAACAAATGGATGTATGCCAATGTAGTCCTCTCCAGCAACAGCCCTTTCAGAGTCGCCTTCGAAGCTGAAGTGGGGTGGAGTGAACCCACAGAATTTGCTCTTGATGATATTTCTTTCACCCCAGAATGCATTGCTGGAGGTACGCTGTTACACATATATGTGCAATACATGTTTTCTTTTCAGAAGGCAGAGGAAAATTGTGGCATTTCGTATTTGAATGTATATCACAGTTACAAATTCTGCAATTTTCTCTTTTTAAATTATTGCAATACTGCTATGCTTTTTCTTCATTCCAAAAAATGTGGAAAATAAATGGGCACAGTAGAATCATGCAAAGAAGTATGTGGTTTTCAAGGGAAAAAAAAACATGTTAAGGAAAGAAGGATCAAATTTATCATATATGAGCCTTATGGCAAATTTTTGACTAGCACATTTTTCCATAAAGGAAAAGAGCCATTATACCTATCAGAGGGACTCCTATCTGTTGGCTGAGTGCAGCATCTGAATAAAGATATTTGCCCATGGATTGTGGAAGACAGTTTTTTGTTATATTTAGCAGTTGAACATACAAGTAATTATAGTAACTCAGAATATTACTGTCATTGAAGGCCTGTTAGTATGTCTATGAACCATACCTGAGAGAGATCTACCATCACTGAACTGTATTGGTTTTCTCCTGCATGAAAATAGTCAGAGAAGGCCTTGTTTAGGATGGAAGAGTTTTATGAGTATCAAAGTTGTTCATAATTATTTAAAAAAGAAAATGGTTAGTTCTTTTGTCTTTGCTTTCTTCATAAAATATCTCAGCAGTACAGCAAATTCACCTCACTGCCAGGCACTTTCAGAATTTACAATCTCACTTCTGCTACACAAATCACTTGAAATGTGTAAAAAAAAAAAAAAAGAGTTAAATTCTAACACATTATAATGCCATGTTTATTCTGTGAGAAAGGCAGTGGTTTACTCTGCAAACAAAATATAGCATACGATACAGTATCAGAAGAAAAAATATGTGCAAATACAGATTCTGATGGGAATATTGGCCATTCCTTATTTTGAAGTGTCAAGAGGGGAAGAAAACCAAAGTAACAGAAAACTTTTTGTGTAGATCTTCATTCATAAGGAACAACTAGGAACGATTATGGTTAAATGCCAATATGAATGTTATAAAAAAGTTCTTGAATAACATTTCTTTCTATTTATACATCTCTTATGGTTCAGATAGGATAGCCTGTGCATGAGTTAGTTGTCATACTGTCCAAGAAACTTTTTTTTTTTAGTTGTGATGACTAAGCAGCTCCTTGGAGAATTAACCACATGTTGATTAAGGCTTAAAGTGAAAAAATATGTTCATGCAAGGTGGCATTTGCTCAATCTCAAGCTGAACAAAAGTTTTGTGTATTTTCTCTGAATAATACCACCAGTAGGCTCAGGCAGATACTATTTTTTAATGTTCTTCAATGAGCTGCAGACTACATACATAAACGTGCTTGTTCTACCCTTATTATGTTAATCACCTTTGTTAACCATACCTTAAGAATTACTTAGGCTGTTTCATGCATAATGTACCATAATAGAAAAGGAAATTTTCAAATTATATATTTTAAGTACCTGTAATTAACTGGAAGACCTAGGTCTATATTCCAATAATGTATATAAATCAATTTTCTAATTGTAATGGAACATATACTTTGGTAATTTGTTATGAACAAGCATTAATTCAGAGAAAGGAAAAAATCTTCCATGGAAAATGTATGTTAAGGTATCCTGAAATAATCATAACTATAAAAATAAGGTAATTTTTATGGAGCAACATTTTCTAGCACCTTATTTTTCTCCAGAAATTTTCCATTTTTAGAATACTTCAAAGTATCTAACATGTATCACACTCTGTCTGTCTTACAAATATGATATATCATAAGGAAAACCTTAAGAAATTTATTAGAGTTATATTGGTTACTTATGGTTTGTTGGATAAGTCAAAAGCTCATACCTTATCTACGTGCAACCACATAAAAATAAATCAGACAGTCTTGGTCATCTAGGCTCTTTGCCCAGCTGCAGAAGAGGCAGACATCTTCAGGAGTTAACTTACTTCTTTCTATGGTAAGCTGGCAATCAGCCTGGAATTAGTTCTTAGAAGCTGCAATACTTACAAGATGGAAATAGTAGTTTATCTTGCTCTATTCTGTATTATATCATTATTATCTCATCTGAAAAACAGACTTTTCCTTGGACAGTTGACATGTTTAACTTAAATGCAGGATACTTGCCTTTGTATTCACTTGCATGCTCCAGACAATTTCTATGTATTTTTTATGGTGATTTCTAGAGGTATAAGAAGGATCTGTACCTGAATTCTTTATGAAATATTGTTCTTTATAAGTCTATTCTTTATGCTGTTGCAAGAGTGGCATAAATTATATTACCCTAAAAGCAGCCTAGGCAAATCTTCTGGTATGGCCAATAATGGATACCCAAGGAAATGTATTAGAATGAAAGCAGAACATAATAAATTCTGCCCTCCCCCAGTCTTTCGCAAACTGTATTAATTTGGTTCAGAGACTTTCTGAAGCTCTGAAGGTCATTCTTTCTGATGGCTTTCAGCTGATTTTTCTTCTATGAATTAGCCAGTTCTTTCAGAATATACACAAGCTTTCAGTTATTATTGGAAAATAGTTTATAATTTAGTTGTTATTGGAAAAACATCAATTGGCAAACCTTGGTTGCAGGAGGTCTTTTTCATGTGTTTTAATTCCTGTCACGTTGCATCCCTCTCCCATGCTCTGCTGTAGACCATCTTCTACTCATTTAAATCCAATACTTGGAATTAGAGTATAGAGTGTTCTATCCTTAGCGCTATTTTTCTTTATACCTCCATTCATAACCTTTAGCTTGCATTAAATGTGCTGTCCTAGATCCATCCTTCTCAATCCTGATGCTTCCACAGTTCCAAATTCTACTAATCCACCTCTGTTCCTCAGTTAATTGGGCATCCAGTTCAGGCATCTTATTTTTGCATTCTTCACATTTTTTTTTGCCTCCATCAACCACTCCACAGTTGTATGTGCACCCTGATAATTCTGCCAGTTTCTTCTATCATACATCTCCCTCCCTGCATTTTACAGTCAGTCTTACTGTTGTTCCAAGGGAGTATTTCTCAAAAAGGAAAAAAAAATTAAAAAATTGTCTAATGGAAGGCAGTCTGCTAATGAGTTTGTGACTTGATACATAATCTCCTTTCCAGACAAAAAAAATTATATCTAGATGCTGTTACTTAAGACTACTGACTTTCTGGGGTTTTTTGTGGTTTTATACTATGCTGGGGAGAGTCCTATCCTAATAATCTTTGCTGGCCGGGTAGGCCAAATCTGTGCTTATGAAGAGGCAAGAGAACTACACAAAATCTGTATAATAAAACAAACCACAGCACTTTAGGAGGAAGAACCTATCTCTGACTTTTTAATATGGTTCCTGACAAAGAGCAGCTACTATGGAGGAGGTGCTATTTTTTACTAATAATTGTTTCTGAGTAACCTCTTAAAAATTCAGATGGTAAAATTTGAAGATACTACCTTCAAATAGTATAAAATCACTGCCCTGTAGATATTTGAGCAAGAACATTTTCCTTTAACAGAAATGGTGGGAAAGTTTACCTACTCCACTGTCACTCCTGCTTTGATTTTTGTTCATCATGTTTATTCAAAGACCTAGCACAAAGAAAAGTGTATTACCTGCAGTACAGGTTTTATGTAATGTTCTGCCTTTCTGAAGATAGCTTTGCTGCTGCAGATGTTTTCCCTCTCTCTGTATTATTATTTTTCAGCTTGTCTTTAATTACTTTGGGTTTCCTGAGGCAACATGTTCTAAATAGAAGAAATCACAGTTTAGCTGGTTAGGAGCTCTAAGCAATAAAACATTACCAGCAGCTCTAATTCAGCTGTGGGTTTTATTTTTTTATAAGGAGTAGGCCTCATTAGCCATGGGAGTTTCTACAGATCCAAGAATATTTCTGAACATTTAAACAAAGTGTGGTCAAGCTAGTCCCTAGCCTACTGCAGAAGTAACTTCTAGCTGATCCCAATGCATAGAGAGCTGTAGTGCCAGCTGTCAGTGGCACAGAATCTAGCTTAGTTCAGAATTAGCTGCTAAATGAGATGTACTCTTACCACTTTTCAAGGTCTATTATTTTCTGCTGATAAAGGTGCGTGAAGATTTTATATTACAGGAATTAGTGCATCTTAGGGACCAAAGAATTTAGTTGTTGCTCAGTTCTAAACATCTTCTTTAAACTTCTAAGTACTACCTTGAATTTTTAAAAAATTACTTTATTTTTATTTAATATCTTAATTTTTAAAAATAAAAGTTAAAAAACATATCCATTTCTAGTTTCAAATGGACTAAGAGTATCAAAATATTGAATCAGATTGTGTATTCACTAATACCTTTCTCATAGTATTTTCCAGTTCAGCTGAAATAAGAGGCATCACAGTAATTCTTAAAATTTCTGCTTCTACTTAATTTAATTCCTAGCATTAATCCAAAGACACCTAACATCCAAAATTTATTCTGTTTATGTAAATCAGAATACTATGTTTCATCACTCACTCATTACTGGAGAAATAAATTCAATGGACAAAGTCTGTGTAATTTAAATAGTGAGGTATTAGATACATAGTGCTTTTATGTATTGGGAGAGTATTCTCAAGAAACAAATAAATAGTAAATATATTTTGTGACCTCTTCCAGAGATCACCCAAGCAAAATATTTGTGTTTGTGGAGATCTTCTGCTGGAAGAAGGTAAATCTCAGTACAAAGTCAGCACTGACTGCTGCTCCAGCCCTTTCATGCAATGAAGTTACCACCTGCTAGCCCCTCTCTAGCAACAGCTCTTTGTGAACTCATACTTCTAAATAGTACTGCTTTAAGTAATTGCTTTATGTTTTAGTTTATTCAAAACCAACAGTGTTGACACTTTAAGATGAATATTTGGGCTGCAACTTGGGTATAAACAGGAGTGCAAACATCATGTAGCGCTCTATGCTCTAGTGTTTGAGAAACCAGTATATGCTTTTCCACCATCAGTCATGCCTTCTGTATTTATCACCAGTTCAGTATTAACATTGCTTAGTGAAATA